TGAAGCCACACCACTGATTCTCTAGTGAGAGGAACGGCTTTTTTTCAGGCAGGTGGCAGGTAAGGGGATGCGTCCTGGATGAAGGAAAGCCTGGTTGTTTTCTTACCTGGCTGGGAAGTGTCAGCCACACCTGGAAAACGTTGGTCCCATTTCCTGCTCTCGATACTCAGGAGAAAAACACACAGCAGCCACGGGAGCTGCCTCTGGGGGACTCCTGCCCCTCTTCCTCTCACAGAGCTCCCTCGGGCAGCCCGGACCTCAGGGCAGCTCTTGGCCTGCTTGCCAGGGCTCCTGCCACCTCATGTGGAAGTGCAATCCCCACTTCTGCAGAAACCAACCAATGACCCTGCCCCTCTCATCGGGGTATGAGGGCTGCTCACCTATCAGGCGAGGGTTCTGAAGCAACGAAGGAATGTGGGACGGAAAGGGCATGTATTAGCACTGACAAAACTTGGCTTCAGGAAGGTTTCTGTGCTTCACAGGCCAAAACATGACTCTTAGCCATAAACACGCACAAGCCACACTGCATAAACAGTGGCAGGAAAAAAGTCGTCTTTCTGAAGAACACTGAGGTTATCTGTTGGAATTGTTAATTCACAAAAACCCATGGACAGTAAGTCATTTCAGTGATGCCCTCCATACAGGCTGGGAGGAGTCTCACTGCCTTCTCTACCGGCAGACTGCCCCCAGCATCCTTTTCCTTACTCATTATTAGAAGGTGCCTCGGAACAGGAAGATGAAGAAAGCATCTGAGTGACTTCCCCCAAAAAGAAGGAAATCAAAGACTGGTAAATTGAGATCTTTTAAAGCCTTTTGGTTTTTAACCAATGGTTGACTCATCGCCATTTACGGACAGATTATCGTAAATTATCTCAGTCTGTAAAGGAGTAATAGCTGGAGCATGAAGGAGTTCATGTTCAGATTGTGCGTGTTTAAATCAACTTTATGAATTATAAAGCTCCCTTTTACAGAGGAGCTCACCTTAATTAATATGGCTGCTTTAACCATTCCACTTTTATGTTCCCAAGTGGCTAATGAATTAGTGAAATATATTCCTGGAGTTGATGCACAATGTGCTAACATTTCAATTATAATCCCAAAATGTGACTTCCATCAAGTAGGACCATCATCACCTTGCTGTCTCACATGATCAGCAGTCCTGGCCTTTTCAACTGCTAACTCTACTTTCAAAAGAATAGGATTCCAAGGGTGGCCTTGGCTCCCTGGGTGCCAGAGTTTCTGTTTGGGAAGGATGTGCTATGGTTAATCTTAATTGTGAGGGTTAGCTCTTATAGTCTGCACTGCGCCTTCGGGCCATGTGCTGGCAGTAAACAGAGGAATATAACATGTGGTCTCCAGGTCTGTAGCTTGCGGCACCTGTAAGACTCAAGATACACAGAAGATATATATACATACGTTTAAACATATAAGATATATATAAGACCCAAAATACACAGGGCTGGTGGGTCCTTACAAATTCTCCTCAAAATTATGAACAAAAATGTATAAAGGTTTTAAATGTGACCTTATTCAAGAAACACAAGTATTTTTGAGCCCCTACTACATGCTAGGCATAATTTTAGAAACTAAGGGGAACACAGAGGTTAAAAAAAAATGAAAATTCTTGCATTAAGAAGTTACATTCCAATGAAGATATAAAAGACTTTGCTTTCATTTGTTTTTAACTATGCCTGGAAACAAAGGATTTTGTTCTGTGTGATTTCCCCTGTTCTTCTACAAGTAAACACAGGAGAATATTCTGAACCAAGGGCTCCAATGAATTCAGTCTGGCTGAGCTGCCCCATGAATGAAGGAGGAGGCTCTACCAGGCTGAGGGTCTGTCCAACCTGCTCCACAGGACCTCTGCAACACAGCAGTGAGCACGTAAGAGCAACTCTGAAAGTCTGGCCCCACCTCCTGGAGAACCAGAAACCATTAGGATCCACTTCTGACTTCTGAAAAGCAGCTTCTTAATTGTGTCAGAATTTTCAAACAAGGGTTATTTAAGAATTCGGAATTTTTAAAAACCGTGAATGCCAAAGAGATCATGACCCAGAACTTTATTCAATGGTAATCCTCTAAACAGGAATGTGTTGTTTCAGCCACGAAGGTTCCTGCTTCAACAGTCTGCAATTTCACACTGTTTGCTGCAAAATTCTAAACTGGACACTCTTCCATTAATCATGTCATTGGTACGAAGTTTCAGATTACACATCCCTCAAAACATCTGCGCTATAACGTGCATTATCACCTGGTCCTTGCTACCTCTCTGAAGGCAGTTCCCAGGCTTCTTTGGGGTCACCAACTCCAGCCACACGGCCCCTTCCTGCTCTTCCCATACACCAAGCACACTCCTACCTGCGGGTGTGTGCTGGACGGACCACCTCCTCTGGCTGGAATGCGCTTCTCCCAGTACCCGTGGGGTTCCCTCCCCAGCTTCCTCCTCCTCCCCCAGGTCTCCTATCAGGGAGGTCCTCCCTGACCACACAGTCCTTATCCTGCTTTATTTTCCTCCATAGCACTTATCACCTGAAACATTTTGTGAATTGGTTTGTTTCGTGTACACGCATACACACACACACGCACACGTGAACAGAAGCTTTAGAACAGGGGCTTCGTCTATTTTCTGTCTGCTACATCCCCAGCCCCTAAAACCAGCATCTACCTAGTTGTGGGCATGCAAATATTTTTTGATGAACAAATCAATGAAGTGAAGGACAGGAAAAAAAAAAACACTAGGATGCCAAATGGTGTAATTGTGTGTATTTGTCTGAGCTTAATTATTTGAAAGAGGGGCAGGACAGAGAAAAAAAGGCTGGAAGAAAAGGCCAACATGTTAAACTCTTTTTGATCTTCCAAAGTTTCTTAAGTAATCACTTGATTACTCTTACATTCATTAAAAAGTGAAATGAATCAAAAGAAATAAGGTAAAATAGAGAGAAAAAAGCCAAACACACTGCAGCCCCTTAACTCAAACGCTAACTCTAAGTGCTCTAAGCTAAGGTCCAAGGACTAGGGAGGGTTCCAGAACCCCACCTGCCCCCTTCCCCTCCATCCCACTAACAGCCTTCACCACCACCCTTCCAAGCTTTCTAAGGAGCTAAGATTGGGAAATTAGTCTTCTTATTCTCCAAAATGTCAATCACAGTGTCTGATGCATCCCAGATCTTGAGAATATTCATGCATTTGAGAACTAATCCAGCAAAGAGCTCCTACCTCAGCAAAAATCCCCCACTGAGAATACTCGACTTTACGTCCT